TATTATACATACAATTATATATTAAAGTATCTATATTTATAATTTCAGTTACATGTGTAGCTAATATTAAATTATAAAGCTTTATATAATATATATGCATTTATGCTTTTGATATACTATATTTGAATATAATTTTATAATAACACACACATAAATAAATTTCTTCATATATGTAAAATATTTCTAGATAAATATAACTATTTTATCTAAATTTTATAAGGGAAAATGTATTATTAAGTGCACATTATTTGTTTACAGGATTGATAATGGCTTCTTCAGAAACAGAGAAACCATCCTTAAAAAAGTCAGAGAGCATAATGAAAAAAACAACCATTTGTCATTGTCGATCAAAAGTGAATATTAACAAATTCGAATATAAATGGTGTTTTGCTCAGTTTTCAAAAATGTCCAAATCTTTAACTACTTTCTTAGCTAGTGGAATTACTGATTGTTACCAAGCTTTTACTCTTAATATGTCTTTTGATAAGAAAAATAATATGATGTACTTTCATTCCTGGCTTATGACTGAACGGGAAAAAATTAAAGTTAATTATTATATTTATATAAAACATTTTAGAGGAGGAATATTAAATCCGTGTGAGGTAGATGACACTTATTTAACGCAAAACAAAATCATATATGAAATATCTCTTAACGATGTTTACAAATCTAAGTATTTATGTGATGACACGCTTACAGTATGCTTTCATTTCGAAATAATCGAAAGTATATTGCACCACATTATGCAAGAAACTATAGATGAAACAGAAAAATCTGCAATAAATAAATTTGCTTTAGATAAAAGATCGGGATCAAAAGTTGAATTTGTGATTTGTGAATTTGGCAAGGAGAAGCAATCTCTTTTTATAGACAAGGGTTTACTATGTTCAAAAAGTAATGTCTTTGAAATTATGCTTAACACTGAAAAAGTACTGCGAAAATATAAGGGCGATGTGATAGAAATAAGCAACATAAAGTATGATGTTTATAAACATTTTATATCCTATTTAGAAACTGATAATCTAGATAGTCTAAGTAATCTAGGTAGTCTAAATGATGCAAAAGTCTATACTAGGAATCGAGTATTTCGTGAGCATGACTACACAAAATACCGACAAACATTATATGATCTCATTGTGCTAGCTAATAAATATAACATACAAGATCTTCTGTTATCATGTGAAAAGATTTTAATAAAAACCATGTACAGATTAGACGTTATAGATGATTTGGAGTTTGCGCATTTAAACAGCGCACAATTTCTAGAGAAATATGCCATAAAATTTATCAAATTACACGAAGATGATTTTGCAGAAATGGGTGGCTTTCGAAGACTAATCCAAAATTATCCCAAGTTATTAATAAAGATCAAGGAAGAAAATGTGGAGTGTAGAGAAATGCCTTTTAAAATTCATGACGACGATCCAGATTTTATACAAGCTATATTTAATTGTTAAACAATCTCAATTTACTAGCAATTAGATTATTTTTAATAAAATAAATTAAAAATATTAAAAAATATGTTAAATGTATCAAATTTATTCGAAAAAAATAAATTTTTGTAATTATGTATAATCATAATTAAATCCGAAATTTGGCGCGATATGGTCTTATCTCTTTATATAAACATAAAAAATATAGCTTGTATACAACAGCTTTTAAAATGCTTGTTTTTGCGCGATATTCAAGAAGAGAAAAATATAATTTTCTTAATTAATGATATCATATTTTTTAATATATTTAATAATAAAAGTCTTTTGTAGTGAATGCCATTTTTAGTTTTGTGAGGAGAAAATATAGTAAAAATGTATTCTGTGCCATATTGGTGATTTCGTTCTAGCTATTATTTAACAACAGACGATTTAATGTGTATCTATGTATATTGTGTAAGCGTTATTTCTTTTTCTAGAAATGACAATATACATTTATATATATAATATTATCAATATAATATAAAATAAAATTAGATATATTCCTTCGTATTTGTTCAATGTTTAATGTGTGTATTATGATACTTTTCAAAATATATATGATTAACATTTATCAACCATTTTTTTAAATTTTTGTTTTAATTTCTTCAATTCTAAATGTGATAGATCTAAAACAAAATAAGTTAAAAATTACTAGATAACATAAATATATTATAAAAAAAGTATTTTATATAATTTATAAATACATCACAAAATTGTCAGATTTTCTCGTTATATTTTTTAATTATTCTAAAATTAATAATTTTGATAAGTTTCAACCCTGATATCGTTATCGCGTGCGGTAATGGCCACCGTTAATGAAACGTTATCGTCGGTCTAACCGCAAAAGGGTTAATGCGAGATACACGTTTATGCTATACTGCAAATGTCATCGTTTGAGATATCTAGTCTAAGATTGCAATTCGCGGAGAAAGCGAGAATGTATAGCGCATCAGACTGCAGTAGTTAAACGGACTGTAAGCCTACGGAGTAATGCAGGATGCGTTGTAGTCAAACCGCGAGTAGTGTCGACTACGGGCTTGTCAGTGATATAGCAGATAATATGTCAGAAGAGCGCGGAACACCATGTACATATCGCTCCACTGCTAAGTGACGTTAAAATCATGTATACGCTGTTGTGTAACGATGATTCATCGCATTCATGGAAAAGCGATCGTAATTTAGCGATTAATTTCTTTTTAAATCAAGTAAAACAAAGTGCCACTCGCGTGTTTTTTTATTTTGCTTAGTTCGATTGTATTTGCGTAACGACCTCGCTTTATAATAATAATAATAACAATAATAATAATAATAGTAGTAATCTTTGTTGAGCAATTTGGTACATTACATTGTGAGCGATGATAGAAAAAGAGACTAAAGAAAAAGCAAATTGCATCAAAGGGCGAGACGACAGCTATCAGCTGATATGATGCCCAAGCCGTGATGCATGCATTTGTAATTCTGATGTTTTACGGTATTGTCGAATATCCTGTATTTCACGGACGATGCGAATTTTTCAATTCGTTGAATTGATTTGCATCTCGCGGAAATCCCGGTATCTCATTCCGGTTTTCGAGTTTCCTTTATCGGTTTCGCGCGATATCCCGGATGTCCGGAGTGTCGAAGTACGTTGCGCTTACAGAAGCAAGGGACTACGCTATTGTGTATTATAATGTCGTCTACTTGAATACGCCAGAGACTACCAGAGTCTCCCACCCGGTATATCGGGTTTTTCTTTACGGTTTGTTTATGTCGCATGCGCACAATCCGCCCCCGAGAGCCGTCGACTCTCGTCCACCCTTCCAGTCGCCGGGAAGCGTGCGGATGTTTTGCATCGCTCGTCGCTCGGTCACCGGGTTTTCCAGTCAGTGGAGGTGAAGATTTTTCGTTTCTGTTATTCGCGCTTAGAAAAATTAATTGAATCAATCGTGCTCCGAATTTTTCCAAACTTTGAAATATGACTGCATCGCGATGAAATAATGTGACCGTTGTACGGAATTTCGAAGTTGACGCAATGGCCTCGGACAATCGAATGAAATTCAAAATTAGCGTCAGTGACTTGCAATTAAATACGCAGATTTGTTTACGTGTTTTGTAATAGCGTTTTAAAAATTTTTTTATTCTTGCCGTGTTTTACGTGAAACGATCATAAAAGGCGAGTCCGCTTTTGAGAACACATCAATATCGAATGATCGAAATGTAAAAAAAGGTGCAATTGCTTGCTGTAGATAATATATCTACGCTAAAATTAATTATTAAGATACTGAAATATATACCAGTGTTGAACTCGTGGAAGAATATTACAAGAAAAACATTTGTCTTTTTTTATTTGAGCAGATTATACATACTAATTACAATTGTGATAAGAATTTCTGAGCTATCAAGACTTTAACTTATATATATTAAAGTACGGTGTATTTATGAAACTTATCGTGAATGAACAACCAAAGTTTCAGCCGTGAAACAAGGATTACGCGGATTGGCGACGACTCTGCGCATGGTAAGCATATCTAAAATATCGTGTGTTTTACGCTGCATATTAAGTACGTTCAAAGCATTTAATTGTTCAAAAAATACCACGAGTGCTTGTACATATTTCACACATAAAATACTTTATAAGTTTCACAGAGATATGCGACCGTATTAAATTATGGCTGTAGTACTCGGCTAGACTATCTAATTGATTTTACTCAACGGCTTAACGTATACATAAAGGTGCTAGATGTAATACAAGTACTTAGCGGCTTAGCTTCCTCTATTACATACGACCGAAAGAAAAAAACTCGCGTTAAAATCTTACCGCGAGCTCTTTGCCAGGATAATCTGGTCTGATAACATTCTCGCGCACAAATCGCATTTATTGTGTATGAAAGTGAGAAAAAACTTGGTGCTCGCGTCTCGACATAATCCGTTTTCTCGTAATAATCCCGTAATAATAAAATAACGGCAACATTTTTATCGCGAAATTTTTTTTTACAATCTTAAACGTAGGATGCATTATCTTTTACCGCATTTCAGCGACGTGCACCGCACTCTTTATATCTTGTATATTCTGTATCCATTCTGCGTATCGTAATCGTATAGATTAATTGAAATTCAGATAATGGGTGTGGCGATAAACGGCACCGTCCGTCGCTTCTCGAAGCAAGAAACGTGTTTTTGTCGGAGTTACTTGGTGGAAATTCATTTTCACACGGTTCGTTAAGATTATCTCAATACACACAAATGCGCGGCATCGCGATATCTTTATCAAAGATCGGCTGGCGGGCAACGATAATCCAGCCGGGCGGTGCTGCGTCACCCTGCGAATATCGTTAGCAATTGGTTTTAGCGGTAATGGATATTCATTGACATTGATTGGACGCCGGTTAGATGGGACTAATTGACCATTAGACGAACAAGGTCTTTCCTTGAGGGCTCGATATCGCGAAGGTCTCGCTAGCCTCGTTAGCACATCGTCGTTAATATACTATCTACCCTAGGCGTGTGCGCGCGAACGTTAATAGATAACAAAATTTATATCTTGTCGTTATCATATATATAGCGTATGATAACGACAAGACAGAGGAAATATATGGAGCGTAAGATCGCATTAATGGCGATGCTGTACATCCGAGATTCGCGTGATGCTATATGTATAATCGATCTCTCGCAACCACAACATTTTGGCCGAGAAAGACGCATGCTGAGAAGGAAAAAATATAATATCGTATCAAATAAACTTTTCTGTTTCTTTTATACTTTATTCTTATACTTTATTGTATCTCATCCTTTAGTCATTGGAAGCCAGAATCACTCGACCGTGCTTTCATCTGATAATTTAGGTTCGTTAAGCGACTCGCGTTTGCGTTGATGACCGCATTATTAATAGCTATGTGGGCGCGTTCACATCGGTCCCCGTTATTTTGTTCTTGTGTACGTAAGCGGAACTAGAACACCATAGGTGGTCGCAAACGTGCTTCCAGTCGGACGATCGTCTTTCACCGTAATAAAGAGCTACATAATTTAAAATGACCCGTCAGAGATAGGGATTTATAAATCGTTTCGGTTGCTACGGTGATCAACATTATCGCGTTATCGGAATTACAAGCGGCGGTTTCATTGCGCACACTCTACGTGACGTCTTTATTGTTTACCACGTTACCGTGGTATCATCCTACGTGCGTGAGTCGTGTTCGAATGCGAGAGAAATAGCTTAGCCGCTCGAAGCGAAACATCAGAGATCGAAATATTTTAATCAATGGGATAATAAGAATGAGAATAATGTTTATCCTCCCAGACTATGTTAGTATATATATGCAATGCGGATCTATATTTTTCTGACATTAATTAAAGGAAAGACTATTTGACTTACAGCATGAAGAAATTTGAATGTATGTATGTATATTGAATATTGTATATATGTGTATAAAGCTACTTCTCTATCTCCCTTTTTTTTTTTGGTCCCTCTCTTCTTATAAATGCCGATCTTGATAGAGTTCGAATCGTCGAATATCTGCTGATAAAACATGAAAAAGAATATTGCTAGTTTATTTTCTCATATTTTCTAGCGGAACGAGATGATCAGTCTGAAAGATAGAACATACGATTAAAATTCGATCAACATACATATCTAACGGAAAACTCGCAAATCGGTAATCGGTTTCTCGATTTGCGAAATAAATAAAAGTTGGTCAATCTGTTTGCGCAAGTCATCGACACGGTTTAGTCCATTTGTTCGCACCGGCCAATAGGAGCTCAACATTTATAAACGATGAAGGAGTGAATAAATAATATATCAATATTATGAAGCATCATTTCAACAATTGCGTATGATTTTGCCGTATAACCGATTGCAATCGATAGCCATGCATCATTTCCAAGGTTTCAATTATTCGGAAATGATTCCGCATTGAGCCCGACAATATGTCCGCGTATACGCTGATACGCGCACCGACGATGTGTATTCCATTTTTGCTTTACTAAAAAATTCCAGTTTCACCGAAACCTGTAATTACACGTACGTAAAACATCAACTGGGATACTCGAACCATTGCGTGCTACATATCCGCGTTACATGCAATCGTTTTAGATTAACACGTATTCGAGAATTACCCCGCTTATACGCCAATCGATCGCTTCGCACGTAGCATTGTTCATTTATCATTTTTACAGACTACGCGCGGAGCCCTTTTTCCAGCCATTCAAAAATTCACCATGAGAGTCTCTCTCTCTCTCTCTCTCTCTCTGTCTCTTTCTCTCTCTCT